CAGGAAACTTGGCCCAGGACCAAAAACTCAGCAGACACTTCCCTTAGACAGCACTTGGTGCAGAAAGCAAGCTGTCCTTCCCCATGTATATTTTAGGCAGACAGGCTGAAAGTCAACACAAGCTTGAATAAATCTGGGGACTGGTACAGAAACTCATGTTATCTTCAGACAAGCCTAACCCCCAGGTCAGCAGGAGTCTAGAGTATGGGGTCAGAGTGGGACTAATGCCTGTAAGTATAGACCCCATTAAAATTACAACATTGTTTACATCAATCTGCTTCATTCATGAAATGATGATGCTGCCAAACTTTCCTGGGTTTTTTTATGAGAAATGGGCAAGGCAAATTGGGCAGTAGTCCAAAGGCCCCTGAGGCACAAGTTAAGTTTTGATAGATTAGAAACAAGATGAATCTCCATGGGATGGTATTAAAGCATCTTTTATTATGTGCAAAGCAGCCTTTTAACTTCCCAGGAGACAGCCCTATCTCTCCATGCTAGTCCAAGCAAAAAGCTTTCAGCATTAATAACACCTGGAGAACCCCACTGGTCTGACAGCTCAAGGGGAATAGCTTGGCAAAGGCTGTCTGACCTCCTAAAATAGCCCATTTTGGTCAAATTTCGCTGTGCTCTGGATAAAACTCCTTCCAAAAGCTGTAGAAGTTTTGAACACAAGATGCTTCACAGCTTTAGGGCCTTGATTTTTTGACGTATTTCCTGATACCTTTATCCACACATCAATTGAGATGTCTGACAGACCAAGATCTCTCATTTTTTTCCCAAAAAGTTAATAGCATTTAGTTGCTGTAAGGTAGACAATCTCAATAGCATGGTGTTTGCTAGACTTGCTGAGATGAATGTGATATGGACAAGCCATTTTAGTGTATAACCTTTATCCCAAAAGTATTGTCCAGAAATATCTGCATGTAAATTCCCAAAACTATTTTTGGTCATCCTGGAATGTTTAATTATTTTGCAAACATGGATATAATGTATTTAATACATGAAAGAAAAGTATTTTTCAACTTTTTTTTCAAGTGAAAAAGTGTTGCTCTATTGATTTTTTTTAGGTTTTACAAATTTAAAATAAATGTATGTGCGTCTTTCACCAAAAGTTGTTCCACCATAAATACTTCTTGTTCTGATGAAAACACAGCAAATTTCCATCTAGTTCTAGTATGCATTTCCAATTACTTATCTCAAAAAGCATCCCCTCTACACAGACTTTGGAGAACGGCAATGAACATAACAAAGAACCTAGAGGACAAATATCTGAGAAGAGATTGCTAAATGCCAAGCAGGATAGAAGTAGAATATACATGATAAACTGTATAAATGATAAAAGTGTCAGGGAACAGAGACAGGGAAATATAGCTCTCCTTGGCCTATAATAGAAAAATCCTCAGCCAAACAAATGACAATTCAGTGAAACAAATTCAAAGCCAGCAAAAGGAAATATTACTCAATTTAATTGCATTTTTCATAGTGCAATTTGCTGCCAGACAATGTCACTGAGGGAGAGAACTCAGAAAAAGAATGGACATTTATAGAGATAACACTAATACTTAAATCCATCATAACTATTGATAACATATTTTTTGAAAGGAACATCCAGCCTGAAAGAAAGAAGGCTAAAGAACTCTAACTGCTAAGGAAAAGTAGGAGAAGTAGGAGAAGTAGGAGAAGTAGGAGAAGTAGGAGAAGTAGAAGTAGGAGAAGTAGGAGAAGTAGGTCCTGGCTGTTGCTGGGGACACAAAGTTTGGGTACAATAGGTCTGCTTCAGTCAGGGAGCTGCAATACCCTTGCATGCATAAAGAGGACAACGGCCAAAAAGCAGCAACAAAACATTGCACTTCTCTATGAACATGGAATTTCTATGTATGGGTACTACTATTACTGCAAAATTTGAAAATCTCCTTTCATTCTGAGCCAGAATGAAAAAAACTCACTGAATATTTTATTCCAAACACTCAGAAAAAAATGTCCTTTTTGGGAAAAAAAGATCTCATATATATTTATTCTTCTGTTACTTTTATTAGTTTTACATCATTTTTTGAGACATAGCCATTCCAGTCTTCACTGGGAATCATGTTCAAATATTTTAAACAATAGCTGCTCATCTAATTTATGAGTTCTTCTTTGTTCTGAATGCTAGGATACACTAACACTGGTAGGAGACATAATCCAGAAAAGACAGGATGTTTCTGTCATTGTGAAGTAGCAGCTGCCCCTATTTATTACAGAAAAAAATTAAATAATGGTTATTACAGCAGGTATTATAACATAACTATCACATCCTGTGCTGTCTCTTATGTCCTATATCAACTCACTTGATAAACACATTGTGTGCCTGTGGCCACTTTCCCCTTTGCTACACACATCCTTCTTTTTCATCCCAAAATATAACTGCCACAACTCCTCTACAATAGGTTATGGCATGCTAGTTGGAAGACTGAATGACACAGAAATGTAAACAAGTAACTAAAACCAGAGAAAAGTAAATAAACATTTTTTTTAATGTTAAAAAAGTTATAAATATTGATGAGAACTATCATTATCACTACAGATTACTGTGGAAAAAATATTTACTCAATCACTTCAGCAAAAATGTCCTGAGCAGCTCTAGTCAATATATGTTTGGGCAATCAATCCAGCTAATTGTAGCATATATTTACAAAGGCTAATAACTCTGAAGAACCCAGAAGACTACTGGAAGAAATTTAGAACCAATTTGGCTTTTAGCCTCGCTCTAAGATTTCTCTTTGTATTGAAGAGTGCCTTGTCTTCCCTAACCAGGAAATCCCTGGTTCATCTGCTTTGCAGACACGAGAGGGAATGCAGGTTTTAATCTATCAGGAATGAGACTTGTATAAGACCAGCCCTCATGCACCAGTCAGGAGACTTCTACCCCTGCCCCCACCAGTATTGCCTGAACCTCTCCAGTCTAATGCATTGCAGGTTAGAGGAGCTCCAGCCCACAGTGTTTGTAATTCAGCTTGTACTTGGCAGGGATCTTGCATATTTTCCCCATATAGATTGGGTCCTTGCCTGTCTCCAGTTTAAAACTTTGCTAAACCAATTTCTCAGGAAATCTATTTCTCTCTGTGCCCTGGGATTACACGAAGAGCAGACTCTCATGACACTTCCTGGTGTTTCAGCTTCACCTCAGATCTTCTCTGGAGCCCAGCTCTTGGGACTGATCTCTGGCCAGCTGCTGGAGGAGCTGTGCAGTGTTAGCTGCCAGCTGGGATCCTTTGACACTGCTGTTCCAGATGTGGCCTGCACATCGCAGGGCAGAGAAGGGCGTGCCCTGCATCCGTGCCTGTCCCTGGCAGTGCCCAGGTGGGGCTGTGGCTGGGACTCCCTCCAGCTCCCCTTGGTCAGTGTTTTCGTGTTTCCAGCATGGACACAGAGGGGAAAGTTTCTGGGAGCAGCTCAGGGAATCTCTTCTCCATGCTGAATAATTTGTTGTCATGAACTAGGAATTTCCTAAGTTATCAGCCTTCGCATTTCTTTCTCCATGAACTTGCAACATGTTTAATAGATATTGTATCTTCTTCTTCCTCATCTTAAATTCCAATGGTTGATCAGTTGTTTCCTTCCAATGAATGCTAGAAATTGAACTGGGTATTTAATGTCCATTCTCCTCACTTTGTTAATTGCAAATTTCCTGTTTATTCCTAGTTTGTGTCTTGCTTTTCAGTTCTCCATGATCTTTGGACAACACTTCACCTCTTGAAACAATTTGGGTTATTGCAAACTGGTCACCAATTGCAATTAGGAACAGGGAAGTGCTTCCAAACTTTTCTACCTAAGGCTCTCTCTGCAAATATGATCCCACTGACATTCCTACTTCCATGCTCACAACAGATAAATTAGGATCTGAAGAGAAAAGGGAATGAGAAAAGGGGGTTACAAGAGAAAATCCATCAAGTCACAGACATTCAGAGAATAGAGGCTCAGGATCTTGCAGACTCACCCTCTGAGAAACAAGAAAATCTCTAGTCATTCCTACTATACCTTGTATTTGGCTGGAGCATACCATTCAGGAAATCATTCCATTTGCATTTGAGGATATGAAGAGAAGGGGAATTCCCTGCTTCTTTACCATTTTTTATAGTGCTTTACCATTGTCTCCATCAAAACTCAGCAGGTGAGGAACAGAGGGATCTGAGTGCTCATTTTGGAACATAAAAGATCCTGTGAGCTGTCATGTCGTGTGTTTTCAGCTGTGACTGTGTGAGTTCAGCCCCCAGAGTGTGGCTCCAAGTTACTCATTCTCAGCCCTCTGGCTTGGATGTTAACTCTCTGCCATCAATCATGTTCAGAGATATTTGGGCTTTTTGTTTTCCATTAGATCAGACAAGTGTCACTGACTACACTCTGGCAGACAAAGCTCTCCAGAAAAGAGCTTTGAAAAGCTTCACAGTGTGCTATCCAAATTATCCTAATTACCTAATTATCCTTATCACAGCAACTAATTAGACTGGCTATAAAGTTAAACCTATAAACAGACCACAGGCTATAAAAGCCTGCAGGCAAGAGAGCTGTTGAAAAGGGACTCAGGAGAACAAGTGGGTGTAGGAATGCTTTTATTTAAAGGTTTGGTCAAGGACAAGTGCCTGCAGAAAATAACCAGTACTCAGCCTGCTAAGAGCACTGACAGGCTACAAAATCTGTATGAGTGTCAGCAAGGCCACCGCTTAAAATTGCCCAATTTTAACAGCTTGCAGAAAAATAGAAATGTATTTTCCCCCAAAAACAGTCTCTTCAAAGCAGGCACAAAATGAATCACAACCCCTTCCTGAGAGTCTCCTTTTCCAAAAGGCAAAAGAAAAAGCTGACTGAGCACTGTAATAAAGGAACATGTTCCTCAAGTCTCTTTGACAGAGCAAGGATGCAAATAAATGATCAGTGGCCTGGGTTCCATTGTGCATCACACCTTTCTTGAAGGTCATTCCAACTTCCCTGTACTAATGCAAAGCCTTTTTTTTTTTTTCAAGGTGTGAAGAGTGTCCAAAAGGGTTTCCTGTCTTCCAAGATGAAAATTTTTGCAGCAAGGTGAAAGTCAGTGGCATCATTTATTGCTCATTCCTGGCTCTCAGCAACACCCAGTTTGGCTGTCGGGGAAGCCACATGTAAACACTTTGTCAAAGTGCACTGTCTGTCCCTTTCAGCAGTCACTTGGGAAGGGAAAGGGAGTCTGACACTGTGTCTGCTGCTCTCCCTTGTTTGGAAGAATTAGTTCTTTGTAAATAAAAGCCTATGCTTTTTCCTGCTGAGGTATTTCCCTATTGTCTGCTATTTGATTTCCTGTAAATGGATTTCCACTGCTGTTGGAACGTTTAAATAGAAACCAGAAATAGCTCTGAGCAGAGCTGCATACACACAGTTTAATGGCAGACCAACAAATCATCTTTTTTTCATGAAGATACCAGACTTTATTTCTCTCAAAGACCTTTGCCGAGTTGTTATAGTATATATACTCTTTTTACATTTCCTACCAGAGAAAAAACAGAGTGTGTAACCAGAACCATGCAGAAGCAGCAGGCAGCATCACAGGCAGCAAACAGCTTGCAAGTAAGGCAGGATGCTCATTTGGAAGTGATGGAAAGAAGTCTGCTCCTTCCTGAATGACAGCCCCAGGATGCTGCCTTGACCTTCCTCACCCCAGTGCTGGAGCTGCCCAGGAGCCCTCCTAAGCAGGGTCTGGTAGGAGCATAGCCCTGCAACTTTATTACAGCAGAATGGTTTCCTTCTGACATAATCAGAAATCCTGGTTGAAGCATCTTGCTGCTTCTTAGCAGAATTTATGATGTCTCTTTATTCCTGATTCTCGTGTTTTTCCACATGTGCAGGTTTCCCAGCTGGCACACACATTTCAAACAGCAATTACCCAGTAGCATTTTTGACAGTCCTAGCTGCAGCCTCAGAAGTGAGGTGTATCTGCTCTTGTAACCTTAATAGCCAAATATTGAGTAATACCTCCAGAACTTGTAAGAATCAGAAAATATGGTCTGTTTGGAAGTAATAAAATGCACATTGCCATGGGCCTCCCAGTTCATGCACCTGCTGGCACAGACACAGCCAGTAAAAGGAAGCTTGTAATAACATAAAAGCTTGGAATTCAGAGGACTTAAAGCCGAACAAATCATTGGAGAGGGAGGTTTGCATTGCAAAGAAATGAGCTTAAAAGGCCTAGAAAGCCACAAATGCTGATTGTTTCTAGATTCTGCTCCATTTTACTAACTTAATGTGAATTGACTGAGGTTACAAGGTTAAGCTCTGCAATGTTTACCACTTTTCTAACTAAATAGAGGGGAACATAAGCAGAATGCATTGGGTTTCAGGGCTGCAGCACCATTTCCGTGCCTCTTCTTGGGAGGTACTTGAAGTTCAAAATATCCTGTGTGAGTGCAAGGAGCTCAGCCTCCTCCAAAGTACAGAACAAGATTGTTCTTAGGAGATTTTGGCTGCTGGTGGCTTGGAGGTTTTTCTTGCCCCAACACAGATAGTTGAACAGGTACATTTTCTACGGCTGCTGTCAATTGAAACTCTGGCACCTGCTACAGATAAAGCACATTATGGTCAGCATCTTTCCTGAAAGTATTAGCACAGATTAAATTTTTCCAGGTTTCTATTTTTGACCAAGATCAACAGGGTTGAGGGATGTTTTGGGAGGATAGAGGATTTGGCTGGATATAAGTCAGATAGAAATTGAGCAAAGTGTAGCTGTCTTACCATCATAGCATCATAAAATTGTTTTGGTTGGAAATGAGTTTCAAGATATCGAGTCTGGTACCACTAAACCATGTCCTTAAGTGCCACATCTACACATCTTTCCAGCACCTCCAGAGATAGTGACTCAGCCACTTTGCTGGGCATCTTCAGTCTCTGCTGGACTCCAGGTGCTGAGCAGGGACTGGTGAAGATTATCTCTGGTTGTACTCCCTGATAGTTCACAGAGCAGGGAAAGGGAAGTGATGCTCAGCCCTGTCAGGATGTTCAGTGGAGGTAAGTAATCATCCAAGCTGTCTTTCCTTGTGCTGAGCAACAAAGAGAGGCCCTGCCTCGAAATATTGTTCACATAATGGCTGTGGGCCTGTACTTCTGCAAGATTTATTCTAGCTCATTTCCCAGTATAATTGCTTTTGAAGCAGCCTACTTAGGTCTAAGAATTTTATCTCTTTTTTTAACATGAAACCCCAGTTTGTTTGAGGGATTGCTGTATCCCTGCAAGCCCTTAATCACATTATCCTCAGTTTCCATTCCCAGGTCTGCCCCAGGCCCTACCAGCTTTGAAGACAATTTCCCCAGCCACATGCCTAGAGAGAAGTTTAATTATTAAAATCAGCTTCTTGCTATAAGAGAGGCCTGAGGAATCTCCTGAGCAAACAACCCCAGGAAGCAGGACTAAGGATGTCATTGGGGCTAAGGTGGAGCAGCAGTGTTATGAGCAGCAGTGTTAGTTCCCCTCTGATTAAATCTCTATCAATGTTGTGATTTTCATAAAATAAAATTATCTGTCAAATTCGATCAAAAAATAAAAATAGGAAAAAAAAATTGTAAGATCCAGCAGCTTCATTTTATAATTTTCCAGAAAAAAATTAATTTTTTTTCAAGAGCACTATAGTTTGTTTCCATTGGAAATGGGGGAAACAGAACCTTGAATTTAAACTCGATTTCAGGGAACATTTCAAATGCCACACAGTGAAATCAACAAAATAAAGAATTTTTGATATTTCTTTTATACTATATTTAAAGTTTTCACTTGTGAAGTAAAAAAATAAAAGTGGTTGTTACAGTTCTGTCACTGAGTACGTTATTCCATAGCTACATTTACCAGTCTTTCTGTCTATCCCTTATTTTTACAGTGGTTTCAAATGTGTTAAAACCATTTAACTACTTTTGGTTTTCCTCTGAACATATTTGTAAAATACACAGGTGGATTTAGAGCACTTAAAACCACAAGCAATTACAGCTTTGCTCCAGGGCCAGACTGCTCCAAGGACACTCAATGAAAGCAGTTGGAGAGCAATAAATACACACAACACACATTTTTAGCAAGGGACTGAGGGATGATTCAGGGTCAGTAGTTATGGCACAGCATCTGGATCCAACCCTTTCCTCCTGACACAGACTGCCTGCAAACACCCTGCCTTGCAGAGCAAGTGTGGCTCTGCTGAACACTTCCCATTCCCTTCTGGGGACTGATCTATTTTTAAATTTCAACCTTCACCCGGAGTAACTTTGGAAATACAGCCTTACTCTTTGAGGAACTGAGGTGAACTAAAAAGAATATGAACCAAAATATTTCAATATGACATCATAGTTTGAAGCAGTTAGGTGCATATCTCACTGATATTTTCCAAAATAGTTCTATTTTTGGAATAAAATTCTCCTCTCTGTAAGATCCAACAATTACCCAGACTATCCATACAAACTTGGTGATTTGCAGCATTTTGGAAAAAATAATTATTCAAAGAGTGAGGCTGTCTGAATGTTAATTTCAGCACAGCTCCCACCCTTTAATGAAATGTGCATTTGCAGATCAAAATGTCAGATGTGATGAGGAGATATCTGAGCATAAACAGGAAGGGCTTCTGTCCAAAAAGCTGCCAGCTGAACTCAGAGCTTTCCCAGCTCTGCCTCTGTTTTAACCTGGATCATTCAGCCCTTTCCCGTGGTTTGAAATCCCATCAGGAAGATGTTTGGCCACCACTGGAAATGGCTCTGACCTTCAGTTTGTTTTTATGGGATTTTCAGCCCGGGCAAAAGGAGCAGGGTGGGTTTTCTGGAGAGCTGACTGCCTGCTCGGGGTCAATGCAGGTGACACAGGTGACCCTGTACTTCTGCTGCCAGCTGGGGCTGTGCCAGCCAGAGCCTGTCCTGTCACACACTGGGCATTTGTCACTTCACTATAACCAACTTCTGTCCTGAAAAGAGCAACATTTTGCAACTAGCAGCAGAGCAGCAAAGAAAGCTTCAGAAAGGAAATGCTTCAAAAACTCCAATGGCCAATTAGGTCTGTGTGAGTATGAAACTCCAGCCTTGGTTCACCACAAATCTGATTTGTATTTTCACAGGATCTGGGCCATTTCACGCAGTCCTGACCTCTGTGTGTCAATATTGCTGAGCAGGGATATACAACATGACTTAAGTGTGTTGCAATAAAATGTTTATTAATGTCAGACAGAAATTACCCAGGGTATGGCAAACTTTTACCCTGGACAGATATAACTGTAATGCAACAAGTAGTTTGGCTTTGTTGTTTGTTTTTTTTTTTACCATTATACTTATTTATAATTTTTCAAAGCTAAGTTAGCTTTGATGACTAGGTGGGCATATTATATTAGCAGCATAATGTCCAAATGTATTACTACCCCATGTTGCTTTAATAAGGGTCCAAGTCAGAAACTAGGAAACTCATTTTTAGGTTGCCACTTTTCAAAACTTTTGGCCTCTGTCAAAAAATAACATGCCAAGCAATATGGTTCAACAACAACTTTGGGAACAGCTTGAACAGAGTCTCTCAGAGAAGTCAGTGGGACTCCACACCAAGTAGGTTAAATACATAAATAAATGAATATTGAAGGGTGAGACCAGGTTGCACAGCCAAAATTAAGTGCCTTGGAAATCTTGTGTCTGTAAAATGCTCAAAGCCATTTTCCACCTGGGGGTGTGCAGAGGGAAGTTGATCTGTGCTGACTGGAGTCAGGGATGTTTTATACCGGACAGGCTGATGAAAGCCCAGACAAGAAATAAGCATCTTGTTTCACATATGTTTTCCTTTAATTATTTCAGTGCAAGATTTGGCTTTTCAAGGCAATTTCTAGGGTAAAGATTAGGAGATATTGTACATAATAGGACGTATTCCTTGAATGGAATCCAATAGTCCCAAACTAATTTCCAGTCCTTAGAGTGAGGTATTTCTCCTGGGGATGACAATATCTGTGGTTTCAATCTCTCACATCCTACCCAACTGTTTCCTCATTACTGTCTCAGGTTTCTTTGTCACCACACAGTTTATACAGGCTCAGATTTAATCAGTAGCAAAACATTCATCAACATGAATCCATGCCATTTCTTTTTCTTAAAAATACCTCCAAGCTCGCTAAATATTTGTCAAGTAAACATTTCCTAGACACAGAGAGCACCGCTCCTCACTTCCTTCTCCTTTAGGTATATTGCAGTCTTGGGATTCTTCCCTAGGATTACAGTCATTGGTATTTTACTCCAACACATAGATTTCATAGAAAGTCACCATGACTCTAGGCTA